CTATAAGGACATGGAACGAATTTGAAGCGGAAAGGCGAACAAGTATATACGAGCAATTACATAGGCAAATTTATAGTCAAAATGCACAAGGATGAAGCAAAGCAAAGCAAAGACTAATAATATGACTTGAGTATATATATACATGGGGAGGAGGATGAATCACTGAGTAATACTTAGGCGATCAATATTTTAGCTAGTCTGTCATGTGATCTAGTGGTCATAACAGTACAAAAATATGGGAATTGTTACCATTCAAACAGCATCGTTTGTTAAGTAAGTTAATGAAAGAGCTTAACCAAAATGAACCATAATACAAATTGGTTGTAAGATAGTTGTATAATGCATTCTGTACGAATCGCCTCAATATGGCCATCAGTCACAAGCACTATAAGCTAAAATAATCGTGGCTAGCAGTGAAATCCAGGACCATATTGTCATCTATAAAGATGTGTTTGGTTTGATACAAGAAATTTTGCAATAGTTTAAGCAACAGCTGTAACAAGTAGTGAATAGGTGAAAATACTGAAATTTTTCAGGGACAAACAACTAACATCGGCTAACAAACAAATAATTTAAAAAGATAAAGAATCTATGGAGACCGATAGTTGCGAGAGTTATGATGATTAACAAATTATAATTCTATAGAGAGTCGAATCAGAACAACCATTTCTCATTTACACTTCCCCTATGAATATTGATTGTTTGTTAAAAAGAAAAATCTATAGGAATATCTGTAAGAGTAAAGAGTGTCCTCAAACTTATATCAAGAATTCAGAATGTACGTACATGAAAGAAAGTACATAAAAGATTCCTCTATACAAATCAATTCAAATATGTGTCAATAACAATGTCAATATTCAAACTAATTTAAGTTTTATAACTTCACTTCAAATAGTAAATAACTTACTATCAAGTGGAGTACTACCATCTTGTAATACATATGTAAATATAATATAATCATTACAATATTATGAATTATATCAAATACATTTAATTACTTACTTACGCCTGTTACTCCTCGTGAAACAGCATAGGCCGCTCATCAGCATTCGCCATCCAACCCTGTCCTGAGCAATCCTTTCCAACTCTTTCCAGTTGTTATTCATCCTTTTCATATCCGATTCTATTTCCCGACGTAATGTGTTCTTTGGCCTTCATCTTTTCCGCTTCCATTCAGGATTCCAAGTTAGGGATTGCCTCGTGATGCAGCTTGATGATTTACGTAATGTATATCCTATCAATTTCCATCGTCTTTCCCTAATTTCCTCCTCAGATGAAAGCTAGTTTGTCCTCTCCTACAGAACGCCGGTGCTGATGGTATCCGGCCAACGGATATCGAGTATCTTACGTAGTTAATTGTTGATAAATACTTGTACATTTTTGGTGATTCTATTAGTAGTTCTCCAAGTTTCAGCTCCGTATGGTAGAACTGACTGTCTTAACATTCGTCTTGAAGATCCTCACTTCCATATTGGTTGAAAGTTGTTTTGAGTTCCATATGTTCTTCAATTGTAGGAATGCGGTCCTTGTTTGCCAGCCAATCCTCACATTTACGTATGCATCTGAACCTCCTTGTTCACCGATGATGCTTCTCAGGTATGTGAACGATTCTACATCTTCCAGAGTTTCGACATCAAGAGTGATTGGATTGTTGTTCTCTGTGTTGTATTTGAGGACCTTGGTTTTCCCCTTTTGTATGTTGAGGCCTCCCGATGCAGAGACTGCTGCTACATGTGTTGTCTTCATCTGCATTTGTTCGTGTGTATGAGATAGGAGGGCTAGGTCATCTGCGAAGTCCAAATGGTCAAATTGGTTCTAAGTTTTTTATTGTATTCCATGTTTTCCCTCAGATGTCGAGGTCTTCATAATCCAGTCGACCAGCAGAAGAAAGAGGAAGGGAGAGAGTAGACAGCCTTGTCTGACTCCGGTCCTTACTTGGAATTCATCTGTCAGGTGTCTTCCATGTACGACTTTGCACTGTAATCAGTCGTATGAGTTCTGGTTAATGTTGACAATCTTCTCAGGAACTCCATAGTGTCAACGAATTTTCCGCCTGTAGCTCTTCTAGAGTTACTGCCGGTCTCAAGCCTTTGTAAAGGAGGAGAATTGGGCATGAGGTTAGCGACCCCATCCCGTTGAAAACTAACTCGCTAAAAAAACTCTAACCATTTTAATTAATAAAAGTTTACACATAAATTGGAAATAATTATTACCTTTTATTTCTTCATTTTCTTGTGATCTAGCTGATTCAGCTTCTAAAATTCAAAAAAATTACTTTGTTTGGGTTTGTCAATTGTAATAATTAAATTCTAATAATTTTCTAAAATACACAAACACTAATACAAATCTAACCATTAAGAATATACACATAAACATTTGCAGTTACATATGTAGAAAACTTCAAAGTGTATAATTATGGAAATCTACATTGGCTTGTGCACATATTATTAACAACAGAGTCTTACCCATAACTACACGTTGATCAGATTGTAGTATTGGTTCTTTTATAAATATACATATACATATACATATATGCATGTATACAAATATTTAAAGAAAATATAATTTTCCATTTAAAATCTTCATAAGTAAAAATCGAAAACATAATGTTCATTTAAACTGATTACTTTAGAATTATTCATTCGATTTGATAAGATTTGTGTAGATTATGATGAAAACTACTTATATATACTTAACTACTTAAATTGTGAGGTTTTGTTTTGAATATTTTTCTGGTTAGCATGGATCTGATGCAGATGTGAAGGTGTAGTTTCTGTCATCATGTTAAGCCCATATATCTTACTCTCACTTTCGAACAGCTCATTCTATTCATTCTACTTGAGTCACATTCTGACCTTGTTATTTATTCACTTATCAATCTTGACTGTTTTATATGAGCGCGTAGGTGTGTGTACACTTCCTATCCCATTACTCATCACATGTCTGTAACTTACTTTTGTGTAACTATAAATATTAATTGACGCTTGACTAAAGGGGAGTTGGCTTACTCGCCATCTCCACTGCTCGTCGTTTTGCGTTGTTCTGTTCCATTCGTTCTATATATAAGATATGTGTATTCCAAAGTCCATTCTCGTTATTTGAATTATTCCGTTACTGACTAACGCGATTTAAGTCGATGATGATATACGAGGATAGGTGATAAAAAAACATTCATACGATCTAATGGGAGTCAGATCAACGGGCCACTAAAGTGGAGAGCCGGTCAACAAACATCATCCGATCTAAATGATGACAACATAACGAGCCCCACAAAAAAGGCGCGGATCGACAAAGCAAGAGCAGAATATTTACAACTGAAGAACATTTCGAACTCAAAACAATTGTCAATCAACACCAACTTCAGAATTTTCAATACAAATGTGTTGGGATATTCGGAAAAATATACCAATAATTATCATGTTAAGTCTAATGGTGTCCTTGAACTTTAAGTGGACATTTCCTATTGACCAATGTTTATTTCACTTGTCAAATATTGTACAAATGTTTTTTCTATTTTATGGTACGATGTGGTCTGCTTGATTGGTATATAAACAGAGTATGTTTGAAATATATATCGATTCATATCTCAGATGCTGAGACTTGTGTCCTGGACTCAGATGGCTGGGCTAGACAAGGAAGCAGGGCCAATCGGGACTCTACGTCGTTCGTGTGTGTTTACGTGTCATTGATCCGGTCGGTAGATACGCTGCGCGTCTAATCTTGCAGTCATCAGTTATAACAAAATGTCGGAACAGTTCTACTGTATGGAACGGAAACTTGGAGAACAACGAAAGCCATCATCTAGATGATATTAGTGTTTATTAACAGTTGTCTACGAAAAATACTTTGGATCCGTTGGCCGGACACTATTAGCAACAACGTACTGTGGGAGAGAACAAACCAGATCTCAGCGGAGGAAGAAATCAGGAAGAAGTGCTGGAAGTGGATAGGACACACATTGAGGAAAGCACCCAACTGTGTCACAGGGTAAGCCCTCGCTTAGGATCCTCAAGGCCAAAGGAGAAGAGGAAGACCAAAGAACACATTACGCCGAGAAATGGGAATAGACATGAGAAAAATGAACAAGAATTGGATGGAACTAGAAAAGAAGGCCCAGGACAGAGTGGGTTGGAGAATGCTGGTCGGCGGCCTATGCTCCATTGGGAGTAACAGGCATAAGTAAGTAATTATGAATATTGCATACAATTTTTATTAATTTCCTACGTAAACTTATTTTCGGAATGGGTTACTTTTAACGACCTTATTTAATTTTAATTCACTTTAATCAGTATATATGTGTATATGAATAACACGTAATTAGTTAAATCACTTATCTAAGTAGTATGAAATTATATGACTAAAATGTTTTACATTCAAATGGAGTCTAAATTAAATAATCTTTAAAATAACAGACTAAAATTCAATTGAAATACAACTAACAATCAATAAGGATGACAACTTGCTCAAGATGATTAATCAGTTTTCAAAAGCTATAAAATGCAAAGGCGTGTAGAACGGAAATAAAGACAGAAACCCAATAATAATTACGGAAGACGATTATGGTAGCTTCTTAGTATGAGATTTCCATTAGTGAACACCGAAGACCATAACGTTAGTCCCACAGTAGACCTTCGCGATTCATGTTGAACCTGTTACGTTTAAACCACTGGGTTATTATCCAATGATTTGCATTTTTAATATCAGTCGATTTGTGATATCTCCAACCTGTCATCCAGTGCTACGGCTAATACCTATACTAAACGCTTTATTTCATAGGTCACGTCTTTTCCTTAAGAAATTAGGAATTATTCACAAAATCCTTCACACAATATTGTTATCTTTATAACTGTAGAATCTTGATCAACTTATAGTTCTAATTACGAAAGAACTTCTTGTGTATACACATAAAAAAACATCATTCTGGTGTTTGAAATGTAATTTCGTAATTGACTTATCCAAAGTACATTAAATAGATAAGTTATAAACTAAGGTGTGCCTACCTTGCTCTTCTTTAACTGCATATGAGTGAGCTAAATTTTAAAAAAAATTAAGCGAATAATAATATTAATTATTTAAATGCTTGTTAATCCTATTAGAATAATATGATAAAAGTAGATCAAAGAAACATGACTTTCTGTGGTGATAAAGTAATGACAATCATAATTTACATATGTATTAATCGAAAGTAATCAAGTCATCTAACAGTGTACAAAAGAGTGATGCTCGATTTGTTTAGACAATGTCAGTTTTAACGTCTGTAAATTATTTTATGTAGTTTCTGCACTAACTTTACTTATATTTCTCGATATAAAATGATCTATCATATATTTGACCAAAATGTGTGATCTGATTGAGAGAAAAAATAAAAATCTTATTTTGGAGATTGTTAAGTTTTTGATTGAGATCATGAATTGATTGATTTTAAACCACCATTGAAAACCTGGACGGCCGTTTTGTACTAGCATGGGACTCTTCACCAGTGCACATCCACGATCTCTCATAAGGAATTTGAACCCAGGACTTTCGGTCTCATGAGCAAACACTTAACCTCAATTCATGATCTCAATCAATAATTTAACTCTGAAGTAATAATATCGCTTCTACCTGCATTATGAAACACTTGGAATTAATTAGTTCAACTTTACTTCTAGGTATCAGTGCTAACGTTGGACTTGATGGTTTCAAATAAATTGAACATTGGGTGGAAAGTTAATAGATAATCAACTATGGTTATTCATAACAAAAAATATATTTATTATTTTCAACACTACTTGTTTCAGTTCTAATATACAAATACCGATTGATATAACAACTTGTGAACCTTAAATTTAACATTATTTCCAAAAGATAATCATTCTTAATGGAAGTATTGTATTATCTTCTAGACTGTAGATATACGTAATGGAAAGTATAAAGAACAGCGTATTAGTACAAGCCATAGCATATTAGTAACTGTTTTGCGATTTTTATCAAACACTATTAGCTAATAATAGATGGAAGTATTTTTATACATTATATACTAGCCGTCCTAGTATTCAAGGATCAACTACTGACCAGATTTAACGTTCAATAAGCTAAATATTGAAACTAAAACAAACAGCACAATATTGTATTTCATGTTTTCTCTAAGTAGCTTCATTGAAACGAATCGTCGATAGATCATGAAACTAACTTTATGTATTTAATAGAATTCATTATTAAGAAAAATAATCTTCCTCAGAAATTACAAAATAAACAATGAAACTAACCATAACTAATTATTATAATGTTTAAGAAACTGCTATAATAAATTTTATTGTTATTATTATTATTTCAGATATTGATGTCAAACTAACCTTTATCCATATCCATTTCTTCATTTATTGAATCTTAAGAAAAATAACCGATGAAATTGTAAGTTTATCAGTACAATAGGGAAGGATTATCTTATGCTAAGAGATATACGTATTTCTTAGCTTATAACGATAATATCTAGTATCAAAATATTTACTTCACGATACAGCATTTGGTTGTAACTACCCGATAAAGACAAGAAAATTTGTTTCGCTTTTCATTTGGTATTCGTTTTAATGTTCGTAGTGATTTATACTAAAGTATTACTTCTAATATTTCATCATTTGTTTCCTAGAAATAAACTGACATAACAGACTAATTAAGTTGAATGGTTTTATTATATTATTGTTCTTGATAGACTTTAGTAATTGACAAAATAAACCAACCTCTACTTCACATGAAGCTTAAAGATTCTTTATTCATATTGCTAAGACGAAGTGAATACAAGAAACCACGAAACTTTGGAAGTCATCCCCTGGGAACGCATTTTATATATACTTACTGTGTATTTATGAAATTTTAATATCATTCCAATATCAAGCTTTTATTTTATTTTATTTATTAACCATTGCAACGCCCTTACTGTTCATAGATTACAGTGAATTGAGCATAAGCCTGAAACTTAGTTTACTATCATAAATGTCCTCTTTTTTATATATTGCAATTTTTTTACTTGTGGGTCAGTCGTTTACTTTATGTTTATAATCAGATGAGTTTTTAACTCCGAGCAGTGCAGAATTCTACAGACTACTTAATTAAGCTTCTTGGTGGTCGGATGACTAGTTTTGGGAGTGTGTGACAACATTGTTTGGGTAGTCGATCGTTTTGGGGTATACTGTAAACAGTGTTAATGGATCTATAGTTGAATGGATAGGAATTAATAACACGTATATTCAATAATTACACGCTTTCTATTGCCTTTAATGACTACTAATTATAACAGCTGAAAACGTTCAAAGCTTTCAAAACGTATCAACTGCTTTCTGAAATAAGAGTGAACTGGTAAACGAGTTCTCAATTCATACCTAAATTCCGAAGAGCTGAAGTTATTCGCAATGTAAGCTTGTCAGTTATTTCATGATTAGCTCTGACTTCTCTATTACTTGTCGTAGTTCAAGTCCATATAAGACTACTACAATCATCACTGATGACAAAAGAACATAAAATTTTTATCTATCACATCTAAAGAAAACATAGTTTGATTCAGATACCATTTGGATACCCAACTGTATGTAGTTTTAAACATAAACTAATATTATTAAGAGATCCACTAAAAATCAGGGAGCTATAGACAGTTATTTTATTATACTTTGGGACTTGTCAGTCGTGTACGTTTATGACACCACCTGGGTTCAAAACTGTTATGTCCCGATAAGCATAATGAATGGTAATTATTAGGATCCATTTATGGAACAATGCTATGAGTATATTTTTATCGCATAATTGTTAAATAACTAAACTATACATACTCATGTCCCTCTTATTGTGAGCTTTATTTTGACCTATGAACTATTATTATACGATTAACCATTCTTGAATTATGCCCTGTCTATTAATTACTACCTCCCACACTCACAGCCACATTTGGCCAAATCTTTTACATATGTTTCCTATTTTATAGTACGATGTGGTCTGTCTGGTTGGTATATAAACCCAGTATGTTTGGAATAAATGATTCATATCGCAGAGGCTGAGATTGGTGTTCTGGACTTAGTTGGCTGGGCTAGGCAGGAAGCAGGAGCGATAAGTACTCTAGACTGCTCATACGGGTTTTGTGAGTCATTGGTCCGATTGATAATCCACTGCTCTCTAATTGGCGGTATCATTACGTTATACATTAGCAGGGCACACAGACCACAAGTTATAACGAAAACAAACAAGTTTCGGTCTATAAAGGAGCGTGATACTATCAGAACACTGAGTATGAACTCAGAGTCTTCTAGCAGGTGGAAAACACCTTTAGTTTAAACAAATATCCATTAAAATCTTGTTTCTTTACGGATACTAGATAGTGTGGTAAAAACATCCTCCAAAGAAGCGTATGGAAACTAGTGGTTTACTCCATAGACATCTGTAAGCTTTCTGATTTGTACTCTCGAACTACTTTAGAAATATCACAAAATAAGTACTTTTTGTTTTTTTAACTCACTCAAGCCTTAATTAACGCATAAAACTCTTAATTTCTCAGCTTCCTTTGTGATTTACTTGATAACGGTGATTATTTTAAGAAATTAGAATATTGAATGTTTGCAGCATCCACTAATGAATTAATTGAGTGATTAAAAAGGAATCTTAGTAAGTAGCGGTGTTTAGCATTGATCTTAAGATTATCTAAATCCCTGATAATCACTTTGTTTATCTGATATCGACTTCGCTATCTGTTTTTATGGATTTATTCGCTTTGATGAGCAACACTATTATAAGAAATTGAACTCCGATCACCTATTTTAAGTTAGGTTTAAAGATGGATGAAATCAGCGTATGTGATTTTCAACCAACCTTGGTATTCAGCTGTATGTACGATAAATATTTCATTAGGAATCATGTTACCAGATTCTTCAAAGTATCTTAGGACAGATCATGAAAAATTTAGTTATCCATTAGCATAAAAAGTCACTTTACTGACCTCGTCTACTACTTCTTGACGACATCGTTTCTAAATGAAAGACAGGAAGAAAATTACAGGGGTCTAAATAATACATCAACTGAATAAATCAAATATGTAACAGTAATTTTACATAATTAGGGAATAAGAAGCATATCTAATTATTTACTTTAATTTTATAATATTTCATCAACATGGCAGTAAACAATTAGTATACTAAAATTCGACTTTTTAGAGATCAATGCACAAATGAGCATGAATTTCTGGTGGCTTGTTTACTGAATCATTATGCTTTGTCTTTTTAAAGAATCCTTTTACTAGCATAACTAGTAAATCGATTATCATAATAATTAAGCTTATTCTATAGACTTTAATTTTATACTTTCATCAAACCGCATCAAAGTACATCCTAATTTAGAATCTTCAAGGCTAAAGGAAAAGAGGCAAACCGAGAAACATAATGAGCCTGGAATTGGAGACAGATATCAAAAGAATGAATAACACTTGAAGATAGCTGGAAAGAAGAGCCCAGGACAGGGTTGGTTGGAGAATCATGGTTGAAGGCCCATGCTCCATAAAGGATAACAGATGTGAGCAAGCAAGTATACATAGTGTCAGCAAAATACACATGAAATGGTTTTTTAAGTGAACTATAGAGTCCATGGAAGTCAGCAGACTAATTATTTAAACTTCGTAGCCAAATAATGATATCTGAAAAGTCAACGGACAGTTACAAACAGTCATTATCATTTGTGTGGTCAAACGTATTCGTCCGAAAGGGCGAGTAATAAACTGATCCCATCAAATTACTAGTGTGACCTTTAAAGTTTAAGCATGCAATGATGGCTGGTACGTTAACATTTTACATAATATAATCTAGTCAATAAACGGATGACGTGTGGCTAGTTTGGTGGTAGTAACTTTTTGAGATTGATAAATCATCGATTTTTCAGCTTATTTCCCAAATATGCTTTTGAGGACTTCATCAATTCACCTGATCCATAGAAATATGATAACGTTTCCAAGTTATTCCGTCAGTCATAAACAATACAGGTTTTGGCATAGATGTAATTAGTTTCAATCCATCATATAGGTAATGAAAAAATTCATGGCACAGAATCTCGAATTCTCGCCTAGTGAAACCCATTATTCGATCTGATACAGGATCTTAATCTTGAAAACTGCAATACATAGTTTGGAGAACAGTCTAGGAAAGCCATAAATAAAACTTTGCAAACACAAGCTATCTGTACTGATTAAACCTTACAATCGGTTCAAAACGTTCATACAGCAACTAGTGTGGAATTGGTTGGAGTTAGACATTAAAACCGTTGGATGCCGGCCGGCTTGGTGATTTGGAGGTTAAACGCTCGCGCGCGAGACTGAAGGTTCTGAGTTCGGATCTCGCAAGCAGGATCGTGGGTGAGCACCGTTGAGGAGTCCCATACTAGGACGAAACGTCCGTTCACTGGTCTAGCTTTAATTGACTCATTCACTCAACGATTAAATTAGTGTAGGATATGTTTAAAACCCACTGCTCGTAACCCATTTTTTTGTCTGTGCAAGCCAATATTATTCAGAATACTGACTATCTTCTGGAAAAACCGTAGTGCCACCACATCTCAATGTAGTCGTCAGTAGGACTTTTTCGCTAAGCTTTAATCTACTGATTTTAATCTAATCACCATCGATTCTAAATCTTCTGGGACGGTATGATAGTAAAAAACAGTTCGATCAGCTGGTAAATCTCGACTGTGTCATTACAATAGATAGACCGGACAACTCCATCAAGGTGGCCATTGCAATCGGGTGAGTCACGTTTTGCAGGTTTTTATAAATTCTAAAGGGTTGTAAAAATAAGATCATAATGTACGTCGTAGGAACTCAAATGTAAGTCATAGAATACACTTAATTACGATTGATTAGTTTGTGGAGCTTGTATAAAACGGTAGGTGGTTTGTACATTACTGCTCGCTTAATTTTAATTATAAAATTACATTGACGTATGTTCATAATCTTCGGATGTCGGTTCATTCATCGCTATTAGAGTACGATTTGCTAGTGAGTAAATTATATTAGAAAAATACTACTACTCGTCACACAATTTCATAAATTTCTAATGATTTGCTTACGGTTTTCTTCAGTAGCTTCGATACCGGTGAATAATAAATTCTGAATCCGTTGAACTTCGTCTTTGTTAGATGATCCATGAACTGCATTACGAAGAATATCTCTACCATAAATTGCACGAATACTAGAAAGACAAATGCCATAGATTTTTTAATTCATGGAAGTTAAAAACAGACAAATAAAATACTTCCAAATCTAAGAAGTTCGAATAGAAAGTCTACAAAATTTAGCCATATGTCAGGTGAAAAATACAGACGCAAAACTACAAACTATTCTTTTCAGGAATAAAATACGTGAAAATATTTCATACAAGCATTTTGATCTTCTCTCTATGGAATTTAACAGTCAAAAATAATTCAGATGATATTAATTAAATTTATTATACACTTTCTAAGTGATTCATGATTTATTTAGACTAAACTCAATCTCTTTCAGCTTCACGAAACTAAATTTCAGAAGTTAGCTTATTTCTTATTAGTGGATATACAACTGGATCAGTTGTTGGTAAAAGGATCATCAACGCTAAATACAAATGCAACTTTGCTTTCATCTTATATTATTTAGATAATAAAATGCATCTATTAGTCGATAGTTTACTTATAAACGATATTGATCCGTTTACCAAAGTGAGATTCTGGTCCATGTAGTATAAAAATCCAGTAACGTTAGTATTTTCCAAATCACGTTACTGGATCAGATAATGAAATCATTAACTTTTGCTCTGAGTCATAAACAGACATTAGAGCATCCTGGCTGATGCCCATGATTAGTGATCAAATGCTTTGAGTTATATAATTTAAGTTCATTCACAGAAAACTGGATGGGTCCGTTAATAATTGTCCCTGGAAGTTTTAAGATTATATTATCATATATCAATCACCGTAAATAAATTAGTCATAACGATACCTTTCTGATGATTCGTCAGATGCTTTGTTTGGATCTGTTGGTCCCATCAGTTGCCGCCAACCGGAAATTGCATTACTTCTCGTCAAAACCATGAACAAAGTCTGACCACTGTATTTAAAAGTAATCAACAGATAGCCTGATTAAGAAAAGTGACTAAGAATAAAATAAAACAAGTTAATAAACTCCTTTAAAAATTCTTTTCGTAAACTTAGCAACGTTAGTTAGTTGACCAGTACTTTGAGACTACCATAGTCCTCTGTCGTTATTTTTAGAACAGCTTAATCTAATGAATGAAAACTATTAAATTCTAAGCTTGGTCTTTGGTTTTATCTTACGTATTAACCGAGTTCTGTGTGACATACTTCGATATCATCCAACTTTTCTCAGAAAAGAATTGACGTATTAACCTACAGATATAATTAGGCAAAAATAACAGCTGTTTACTACCTTTTTGTAACTGATATTTACATTAGCTAGTACGGTCACTGTGTAGGCATGCGAAGCACTAGATTGTCAGGTTATGAGCATCCTAGATAATTTTACTAATAACTTAGGTAACTTATGTAAATTTACTGACTTGGTTGTACATAATATGTATTCCTTCGGACCTGACTACTTCGTCTAATTTATTGAACCAAAATGAATGGAGTAGATTATTATACTTGATATAGTAATGGTCAAGGAGCTTATTTCCAGGTTACTGAGTTAAAGCTCATTTGACATTACATGTAACCTTTTCATCATTCAGTAAGAGAAAGTTACTTAAGAAGGATCAAACTAATTTCCTTATATCGTATTAGGCGGATCATCTGGACAAGTAAATTAATTTATCACCAATAGTGAATATGTTAAATTGAATTAATTTGATAGCCTAGTCTATTTCTTTTAAAAAAAGGATTCACAGACCAAAGAAATATTTCTTTTTAACTGATTTTACATCTTAGCTCTACACTAATATGCATGTTTAGCAGTAATGATAAAAGCAATGCCGATTACGTGGCACGGTGTTGGGTAAAACCGTTACATATAAAAGTAATGACGATTGATAAACGAAGTAATTAAAAAGTTTATAGGGAAATCATAATATTTGAAGGTATAAATTAGTAAATAAATGAATTGTGATATACGATTAAGAAACTGATAAGGTCCGTGATACTTAATAAGAGTACTAATAAAATTTTGATGAGAATTTGAATGCTAATATTGGTTACGTAAGGATTATAAGAAGAATACCAAAGAGACAGAGGAAATTTGATGATAGTAGAAAGAAGGAAGGTTTGATAATAAGTTATGTATAAATTGTTTTAGTATTAGCATTATAGATAATTGAGGTATAAGGGACAACTGTATCCTAAAAACTTAAAAGAGGACTTAATCCCCATACACACCATCTGACCAATGATACATTCTTCAAAACAGATCCCTAAAGTTCTTCAACGGATCCGTCAGGAACAACGTAGAACTTTGTACGTACGTACATCAGTTCGTGTTGCCACACCACATTAGTACAGAGATGCAGTTGTCGATTCAAATCCCGTAGTGTTTGAGGTAGTAAAATTATAAGCAGTAATCAGAAAGATTAGGGTTTGAAGATATTATTCAACGAGTATAATCCAGTGAAATAAATTCGGAGAGAGAAAAAAAGGGATATGAAGAGTTCGAAATATTAGAATATGTGAGAACACAAAGAGTGGATGCACCTGAGCCATTGCAAACGATTTTGAGTCATGTCATTCAAGGTCTCTAACCATCGGTCGCTATCGTCTCTTGGATCCCAACCAGGTTATTACATGGATTTGTGCCATGTTTTGGTCTTTCCTTACCTCTTCCGAAAGAGTTCTGACTTCACGTGAAATTTCTTACTTACTAGTGGTTATATACGGATACTATTAAGGGACATCTGACATTCGGTTTTATCCAAGCATGGTGAAGTACTGTGTAAGGTAGCAGCAAATGATATGCCACGAGAACCATTTATTTCACTTGGTTCATGATTTAGACTGACTCTCTAGTCACCCTCAACTGCTATTAGGAAACAACTGAAAACGAATATAAAACAGTAGGGTCAAAATGTACAAAACATCTTATTAAGCAATATAGTACCTAATTTTAAGTTTATTATTATTACACCGATCTGCTAATTCTGTATGTCAATCAAGGGGTTTTATTCCATTTTCCTTCCAACCAATATTTATATCGTTAACAACTAGGAAGAAGTGGACAGCTGTTTCCTTCTAATATGAGACCATCTGAGACTTGAAAGTCATGGGTTTGACCCCTAGTGAGATTGTGGGTATTTCGTTTCCCCTAAATCAATTTTTGATTTTTGCATAGGCAGTTTAGTCAAGTTTAAAAGAAGGTAAAAAAAAAGCGTGAACTGCATTTCAATTTTAACCACTGACAACTGTTATTGTACTAAGGCTGTGACAAATTCAAACAGTATTTCCAAGTTTCACAATGAAAAGTACTTTTTTGATAAATGATATGACACACCTGATCATATGATTAACTAGATCATTGTAAAATGGTTGACCAGAGCAATTTTCATATAGTTTTCGAGCTATATCCTTAGTAAGAGTCGTTTCTTTACGTGCTGCCACGTGAAAACCAGCTGATTCAATCCTTTCAATAATTTCATCTCGATTAGCGTATGCATCGGGTTTAATCGCTGCAATTGTTTTTTCGACCGGGAAAAATACATTAATATCTTTCTCCACTTCATGATCGTTAGCTGATCCATGTATAAGGTTGATTCCTTCACTTTTCCCACTGGTCATTTTAGTCGGCGATTTCATGGTAAACTGAGCACGTAATGATCCAGGAGCTGTAGATTTGGCTTCACTAACACTTGCTGGCCCTAACATTTCTCTCCATTTAGCGACAGCATCCTATTTACAAATGAAATTTGAAATCGACTAAGTTGATATGAAAATGATTAATTGAAAATATGAAAAATAGAAGCATAATAATGTTTATATAAGTTAATAAACCAAAAGAAAATAGAATGATCTATGCTTTCCAATTTATCATCGTAGATAAACGAGTTAACAACAATGATGAGTTGAATTAAAATCTTACTATAATGTAATTTATTTTAATACTCAAGTAAATCTGGAATAACATTTGCATTAAAAATTATTCTGTTATTAGCCTATTCTTCATGAACTTTTGACTTGACATGACAAAGAGATAAATTTAATTAAATAAAGACCAGAGAAAAACAATCCAAATTAATTTTAAAATCTTAAAATTGCTACTTAAAGATTATTATTGATAGGTTAGGAGTAATTTTAGTCGACTGATTCATATTCAAGTGTAACTTAACTTGAACTTCCATGATAACAACTTATCATTACCAATATGTAATACAGTGTTTTTAATAACTTCCAGAAATGCTTATTATACATCTTAAGCCTTGATTACATTTATTACATGGTAATAAGACAATAAAATCTTATTTCACTGACTGAACTATTACAATAATAACCAAACAGAGTTCATTAAATAACAAAAAACGGATCAGAAATACCATTGGTTAATGAGCTATGGAGATATTAGAGGATAAAATTTGGTTTTTGACTGCAAAACGTTATGAGTTAGTTAAAATATAACTTTTTAGAACTTTTTTAATAAATTTAAAATGGTTAACTGATATACAACAACAAAATGAACTATTCAGTAAGATTGTTCAGATTATCTAGCAGAATAAATCAATAGAGTAAGTAGAGAAATTCTTTTCTTACCAGGTGACAACCTAAGGTATTGATATAATATTAAATTGCCGCATATCGTGATCATAGAAATAAAACAAGAATTCTCCAGAACCTCATTATTTACTTATTTCACAACCTCCAGACAAACTTCGGCTGCTTGACAAGTGGGTTAGATTATTCTGTGATTCTAGAATTATCCACGGAGAAAATGTTTTAAGTGTTTCTTGTATCTATTTGTTATCTGCTCATAAGATTTTACTTGACTGAATAGTCAGATAGTTTAGACAAGTGTAAGTTTACACTACCCTTTTATTTAATCTTAACTTCATACGTTTTATTCTTAATAACTATTGTGTGATTAGCCTTTGTTAGCACTATGAAAATTCTCATGACTGAGTTCATTTGATTATCTTAAAAATAATAATCTTACTTCTCTAGCTAATAATAAAGCCAAACATGGACCACTGGACATTACAGTAGTTAATTCCCCAAAATATGGTTGTCCCATATGTTCCTTATAATATTCTTCTACTTGTTCTTTAGTCAGCTGTATAACTTTCTCCAGTGCTATGGTAAATCCAGCATTTTTAATTTGTTTTACTATTTCATCTTTATATAATTCATAAGCTTGTGGCCGTAATACTGCAACTGTTCGTTCGATTTCATGTTTTCCAGTGCCATAAACTGTTTCTTCATATCCTTTACCAACTGATTGGGTACGTTTCACTGTAATAACTGGCGGCTCGTAACCTGGGTAGAAAAACGCTAGTTCTCTGTTTATTTTAAGCGATTGTTTTGCCGAATATGTAAAGAAAGATGAAAGTACATATTGTTTAACTTAAATAACTAAATAAGAATAAACTTAAATAATAACGTTATTATTTTTATAGATATGAAGTAAGACTGAAACGACATTTTAGATTATGACTAGACATTGAATACATCAAATTTGATCGGCAAACGATCAACTAACTCAAATAATGTTTCAAACGCTTAAAATTAAAATTAAAATGTAACTATAAATTATATTAGACTATTGGATATAAGCTATATAATGTCGTACGTGAGAAAGTATAGATATAAGCAACCAGATGTAGGTTGTTCATAAAAACATAAAAAGATTTCTATTTTTAATCTCTCACCCACCAGAAGCTTTACATTTTTGGATTAATCAATTAATGCATAAACCTATATTGAGCACATTATTTGGATAAATTCAGGATTCACATGACTAATTCTTGCACTAGTTAATAGTCTCTATGACAATGAATGTTCCCAATATTCCTCTCTCATTCAAGTAATACTACGACAATACATTAGTGCGATAATCAGACTAGTCACATTATGTCAGAACCAGGATACACGACCCAGAATAAATAATCAGAGGACAGGTTAGACAATACTTTGTTACACACGATTACATACAATCATTCTCAGCGAGTCCAGAATCGAAACCAATTCCATGAGGTGAAACCACATATTTTAATGGTCAATAGGCTGTGTTTGTTTGTCAATGCTCAATGACTAATCATATTTTACCTTCACTATTACATATCAATGATCGTTTTTAATGTCGCTAGTGACATATGGTAGTTTTTCATTTACCAAACGAGAATGTAGAACCTAATACAAATTGATATTTTACCATTTGAAACTGTAAATGCACACTTTATGTTGAGTATCACACGAACGGTATGTAGAGGGAATGAGACAATATTTTTATCAGGAAGTAAAACTGCAGTCAATAATATTTCTTACAGAACAGCTGATTATGTTATTTTGTGAACCATAATGTTGCCTGAAGTTTGTTAACTAAGGCATGAGCAATAAATATCAACCTATTTATTGTCATAGTCCAAGTTAATTTGTATAAAATCTCTAAAATAAATTGATAAAGTCATTCTTATCATTACTTAAGTCAGCAGCGTGAAACTAGTAACTCTTTGGTTTATATTTTAAGCAATCATATATTGAATCAAAGATATCATTAAAGCCCAACTTCGATTTAAAAAATCTCAGGCTGAAATACCTAAGGTTTGGAATGAAAACTTTAGAAGGAGAAAATAGCTATCACTTTCGTCAATAATTAATCATCCACCTTTATATCGAACTGTCTAACACAAACATATAATTTCCGTAATCATCCAGTTGACAGCTAAATCAAGAAACCAAAGAGTTCAATCCTTATCAAGTTTAATAAGCGGAGAGAGTATATGGCAGGGATTAGAAAAGCGGAAAACGGGATCAACAGAATCCATTCCTCACAAATGTTTCTGTAGACCAAAATTATGAAATCAAAACTCAGTTCTAAAGGAGATGATTTTATCGGCACAGGGTTGTGGAGATTATTGAGTTTTGATTGAAATCATGAAACAAAAATGTCAGACCGCTATTAAAAACCTGTAAGCACTGGACGGCCATTTTTGTCCTAGTATGAGACTCCTCATCAGTGTGTATACACGATGCCGAACCCAGGACCTTTGATCCTGAGCAAACGCTTAATTCCTGGACCACCGAGGGGGCGTCCAACGGTTTTAATGTCTAACTACAACCAATCCACCATATTGTGCAACCATCTCTCATATTCGAGTCCGGGATCATGGATGTGGATTGCTGAGGGATCCCGTACTAGAACGAAATGGCTGTCCAGCGCTTCCATTTCTTCAATGGTGGTCTGACATTGATTGGCTCACAATCTTACATAAAATACTCTTACTTTTTTCCAATTTAACCTAGGGCCTATCCTAGCAAATTAAAGTTTCTCATCAATTTTTGAGGTTATCTTAAGCAATTCTTAAATCGTATTCTAGACTGACCCCATAATTTGCAAATAAACGACAATGAACCTATATCTTTTGACAAAAGCATTTCTTTTTTTATCAAGAGTTAACTATTCAAAGAAACCACATATATTTGCATTGGCGGTGTGCACTTTTCAGAAGCCACTATTCAACTAACTAACAAACTAGTATGTCTTACAACGTAACTTCTGTAAGACAGTCTTAAAATTACTGCAACGGACTCATCATCATTTTAATTGCATTGGGAAGGTGGCCCACTGATTGAAATCCAATTTGGCATGACGCAAAATTTATGACCATACATAAACTAAAGACATGTAATAAATAAGATAAGCGAGTCACATGCGCGCTTATACAAAAATTATTAAGATCAGTAAGCGAATAATTGCAATGTCAAAGTGTGACGCAAGATGAATAAATCAGTCTGTCTGTAAGCTAGAATAGCCCATATTGGCTTGAGATAGTACTAGACACTCCAAGTTAACATAAAGGAATAACAAAATATTCCTACTGGAAGTTATTAAACTTTCATAAGGTGTTATTAAATTGCCAGTATAATAACTTTCAACAGCTAACTAGACCTAATCAAAGTATATACCAATTTAACGGATTCAATAAATTATTTTCTGTCAGATAATCATTTACTCAATGACTGCGAAGTAATATTTTATACTTTGTATTCGTCCCCAAGTTCATGGCGAATTAAATGCAGTTTCTATTTTCCCAACTTACTTCTACCTGATTTTTATTAATCGGTTAATAATTTCTCTTTAACTGTTTACAAAATCTGAGTTGAGTCAGACAGAAAACCTATCATGAAAATTCGCACATTTCAAAATTAATAAATGGCTCACAAAAACGCGTAGATCACCATAAAAGCAGCCTCAAGATTCATTGTCATCTAGTTTATGTTCATAAATACTTAAAAGATAAACTATACGTTAATAATAACCAGAAAATTAAAATCTTAAAACAGCCATTTATATATGATAATAAGTATTTAAATACTATACCTTGTAGCCTCTTCTTTAGAGCTTGATGCATGGATCGCATTCTTGATTATTCCAGTACCATATTTTGCCCTTATCCTAAAAAAATAAACGTTATTCATTAGTGTCAAGAATGAAGCCGCATTTTCCGACCAAGCACTTCGTAACAATTGCAGTGCATCTGGAATGTTCCTCAAAAAAGACTTTGTTACGGGATCTTGTTTTTAAAGAACTTTAATTGACTTCCCGCACTAATGTGATTTGGCCGAACGATAGTCATTCATTAAAGCAATTACAAATCTAATTTCAAATAACAGAACATCCTTATTAAGATACGGTTCACAGAAAAAGAACCGTACTTAATACAACATAAACCAACTACCGGATAGGTAAAACATACTTCAAAATAATCATGATCAGAAGTTATCTAATCAAATGATACAATAAAATTAAGCCTATCCAAAATAAATATTTTAATCCTAAACTGACCTTTCATTAAAATCAACTTTAATATAAAAAAATGATCGTGGTTAGCAATGAAATCCAAGATGCATATCTAGTCCTGCCTGTTACTCTTCAGTTAGATGTATCTTGGAATCGACGTTTACTCTGAGACTGGAGGCCAATATTATTCGCTTAAAACACCATCTATTTTACACTAACTTGAATCACCATGACAATATTGGGTTATTCTGCACAGAATCTTCATTTGCCAATCAATTTTAAGTCAGGAAATCAACATCAGGACAATCTAAGTCATGTCATATTTAATTAAAATCAATCCTGTTATAGGATGTAATAACTTACATTTAATCAGTGGTTGAAAATGAATCATCACGATCAGGTGATCAGAACCAAATTTATTAAATAGGCTGTGCACATTTTAAATGTTATAAATAACAATAATTTGATTCGTTCAAACATCGCGTCTGGTCAATAAAATATAGAGGTTAGTTTTCTAAACACAAGTCATACGCAAGTTCAAAACCATCAGCTCGTTTTAGATTAAGAATAAGCACAAGTTTGATAGGTGATACTATCACTACAATATGGAGGATAATTTATTGTGATGTGAATGAGTACCTGGACGGTATTGGAATACCAAAGCATCTGAATATATAGTTCTTTGGCATTATCATATACTATGGAAGTCAGAAATAGGCTTAAGTAATTAGTTTTCCGTTATATTACTTTAATTTATGCTACTTGAGACTGTATAATTATTTCCGTTGAGGATTAAACATCAAGTAGATATTATTCGTATTATCTTCGTTAAAAATTCTCACTATAAGTAACATATGGTGCTATACAAGCAAGCCTCACCCCAAACTGTATTTTGTTGGTTCTTTGGCACATATTCACGTAAACCTGATAAAAGCTTGAAAATCGTGACCAATTATTTATTTTTTCAGAGACGTATTGTCTAATTGCAGTTATAGATCTTAAAAATAACTAAGAAAATGATTCATAATATTTCTGTTGGAAAATCCTATATGATTAAAAAGCATGCATCAAAGTATTTCACGCTTGCAAAACGAAATACAAATCAGCCCCTATAACTGTAAGACCGTAGGATATTTACAGAGAGGCATTGCCTTTAAATCAATAATTTTGAGTAAAATGTGAGAAGGAAGATGGTCTCTAAAAAATAGTGGTATTCGAATGAAATAACAAGTGCGCTAAAACGTTTTGTGAACATAACCTTAATTGTAATACATTACTTTCACATGTGACCACGATATTCTTGCTATCTTTGTGCACTTGTCCAGCTGTACTATTAGAAAAAAAATTGAACTCATCGAAAAGTCACCACTAGGAACACTATATGCAATGATACTACTTATTACATTAGTACAAGATAAATCTCTTTTGTTTCTAAAGTACGGGGTTCAATCTTAACAGTCAGTTTTCAAAGGAAGCACCTAGCGCGCCATTTAAGAAGGATAGTGGTATTGTTCCTCGCTGAGTAATTTCATTGTTTTGATCGTTTATTACGCATCAAGCCTACTGTTTTTCACTTTAATTGGATTTATTTCAGCTAAAGTATTCGACTAGAGTGCCGTTTTTACCGTTCTCTCAATTAGTTTTGTCGTTGGTACTCTTGAGTACCTCATTTTCAATTGTATCTGTTAGTACTTTTGGTCCTAACAATCTACAGTTCTTCACGTTTTGGTCACTGATTATTTTTTTTGTTTCTGAGTATCATCGCATCTCGTTCCTTTTTGAAAAGGACCCCTTTTAAATAACCGGACAGTGTAAAAAAAGCAGTTGCCAACGTCCGGGTTGTCGTTATCCCGTTGAAAGCGGCATGCAGTGCGACGAGTGCAAAAGCTGGTAACACGAAGTTTGCACGAACTTAACGCCTGCGGCTTTCAAACGGTTCAGTAAGAAGGGTTGCGTATGGCTTTGTCAACAGTGCTGTTCGGATGCAAACAGACTGTTAACCGAGGCCATCTCACTGGTTGATGCTGCAAAGAAGTGTTTTAGCAGGCGTAGTCGGAACACGTCAAACAGCACTCGATCTGTCAACACACAAATCGGCATGAGGCAAACTAAGGTTAGTTCGATAGTAGATGACTCACGCCGGTCAAAGAAGGAAAAGCAGTCTCCAAAGGGGCCTGCCTTAAACAAAAGCTCAAGGAAAGTAGGTTCTTCTGTTCCCCGTCTCCCAGATGGGATCCCACAGGAAACGCCTAGAAACCGCAATCGCAAGGCTCGATCGGTTTCAAGTGGTAAACATAACCTGACTCTCAGGTCGTCGACAACCCTCCAGAATCCAACTCTAGGTTTGACGCAACTGTTGTTGCTTCTCCCAGCACCATTGACGAGTGGGTAAAGGTTGTAAGGAAGAAAGTAGTCGTCAAATCGAAAGCTGATCATAGCGACAGATCAGCTATTTTTCATAGAATCAAGGAGAGCGAGAGCTCTGAACCTAAAGCTCGTTTTGAGCATGACATTGTGCTGATTAAGCAGCTGCTCAATCAACTCATGCCTCAAAATATCACTGGGGTCACCTTGCCAAAGGTGTACAGACTAGGAAGTCTAGCAGACTTGAAACCAAATCATTCCAGACTGCTTAAAGTAGTGTCCAACTCTTCGAACGAACGTGACCTAATTTTACAAAATGGACAAAAATTAAAGGGTTCAGGAGTCTTTATACGAAAGGACTTACCGTTGGCAGACCGTGTAAAAAGGCGGGAAGCCGAAAAAGAACTACAACTTAGGTTAGACACTGGCGAGAAGGACCTAAAAATTGTAAATTTTCGGGTTGTAAGGCTTCGGCAGAGAATGATGCCGAAGCCACTCTGGGTGAAGCACGAAGCCACTTAAATAGGCTTCGGATCTGCTACACTAATGTCCGGAGCTTACTTAATAAGCGATCGGAACTAGGTGTACAGATTAACTCTACAAAGCCAGATATAATCGCAGTTACAGAAACCTGGCTGACACAGGCTATAGATAGTATGGAACTTGTTTTCGAGGGTTTTACGTTAGTAAGGGCCGACAGAATACAAAAGCGTAGAGGAGGGGGAGTAGCTCCATTCATTAAGAATGCTATCCCATTTGCCAATATCGACAGTGTATCCCATGAGAGTGGGACGTGTGAATTAGTTATTCTTCGCTTAAAATGCAAGGGACAAGAGCTGCTGATTGTTTTGGTCTATCGCAGTCCAAGCTGTGAGGTAAATGAAGTCCTGCTAAGCAGTCTCAATACTTGGTCACAAAGTGGTCGATGTCTAATCCTAGGGAACTTTAATGCACCTATGGTAGACTGGGAAAATCTGCGAACTAAATCGTCAGAAAATTCCTTCGAGCAAGAACTAGTTGATGCGGTTATCACATGTGCTTTAGTGCAACATGTGAAAGAAGCGACTAGGTACGACCCGGACACTGAATCATCCTTACTTGATCTGATACTCACTCACTATGTGGATGACGTTGCGAACCTTCATTATGTGCCACCCCTAGGTAAAAGTGATCACGCAGTTTTAATTTTCGACTTCCATATAACTGTCAGTCCCGAGCACGCGTCAGCCTAATCCAAACCTAACGTCTGGAAAGCAAATATATCAGGTATCATGCACTTAGCATCGTTAGTAGATTGGACAATAGACCCACAGTTCTCAGTTGAAACGGCCTGGGACGCATTTCGAAATTCATGCTTAAAAGTTACAACACCCCACATCCCTTGGACTATACCAAGGGGGGCGATAAACTCCCCACCATGGTTCATTAGGGAGGTTCGCATCCTTTTCCGTAAGAGAAGAAAAATGTGGGATAGATTTAGGTTACTGGGAACTGATGAAACTAAATCCCAGTATAGAAAAGTCCGGAATACCTGTGCCTCAACATTCCGTAAGTCTAGAAAGTTGTACGAAGAAAACACTGTTAAGGAATCCATAGAATGTCCCAAACGCTTGTATTCTTATATAAACCAAAGGACAAAGAGAAGAGGAAATATTCCTGCTCTATGGATGGACAGTACTGCTGCGTCACTAGTGGAGGACGACTTTGGTAAGGCTCAAGTGTTCTCAAACTACTTCAGCAATGTATACACCATAGAAGCACCCTTCCCATCGGCGCATACAGATCTTCTCACACATACACTGGATAGCGTGACCATTAAAGAACTCGATGTCTTCGGTCTACTAAATAAGCTTGACATAGGTAAATCCACGGGGCCCGATGAATTACATCCGCACAACCGGCTATTATATAAGTTAAAAAATTTCGGGATTGGAGGCAATCTGTTTATGTGGATAAAAGACTTCCTAGTTGGGCGTCAACAAAGAGTACGAGTGAACTCAAAGTTATCTAGCTGGGGAACTGTGCTTAGTGGAGTGCCCCAGGGCACAGTTTCGGGGCCAGTGCTATTCCTCTTGTATGTAAGTGACCTTCCTCGTCTCCTATCATCATCGGTCTTGCTATATGCTGACGATGTAAAGATATGGAGAACGATACAATGTAAGGGTGATAGCTTAGAACTCCAAAATGACCTGAAGAAATTATCTGAATGGTCTCAAACCTGGCAGTTGCCGATTAATACTTCCAAATGTGTTGTGACGCATATCGGTCATCAAGGTACAGATACATACACGACGAATAACACTGAGCTACCTGTCGTCCAGACATATAATGACTTAGGAGTAATCGTCAGAGAAGACTTAAAGACTACTGCACACCGCCATGCAATAGCCGCCAAAGGTTTTAGAACGTTATGGTCAATACGTAGGGCTTTTAGCCATGTCGACGCTAAGACGTTTTTGACTTTATATAGTGTTCGTACGTTCTAAACGTGAGTACTGCATACATACGGCCAGCCCCTGCTTAAAAAAAAACAGTGAGTTTCTGGAAAAGGTTCAGAGAACGGCAACTAAACTGATTCCCGGAATAGAGAAGCTACCGTATAAAGGTCGACTGGCCAAGCTGAACCTTTTCCTGTTGTCATATCGCAGAACTAGAGGCGACTTGATTACAGTTTTCAAATGGCTTAGTGCCAAATTTGCACCTGATATACCCTCATTTTCCTTGTCTTCCAAAACAGAGAATTTACGAGAACACTCCAAAAAAATTCACAAGCCAAGAACAAATTACTTGTCAACTGACTATCGACTTTCCCATCGAATCATCAACGAGTGGAATTCGTTACCTCAGCACGTGGTTGAGGCTCCATCCGTCGATTCTTTCAAAAGAAAGTTGGATCAACTGAGAGACCACCATTACCAGGACTAACACAGGCCATCAGGCCTCCTGTCCTTCCCAAACTGAAACTAAAGTACGGAGTTCAGTCTTAACAGTCAGTTTTCAAAGGAGGCATCAAATAATTTGCGACCATCGCTTACGTTTCATTCATTTCCTCTGAATCCTTTTCAAAAATCGACGGTCCAATTAGTCCCCTTAGCTTGTCAATAATGCCCTGCTTGCCTTTTATTGCACAGACTATAATTTTGCTTGGACCAGATGTCATAAATCCAACAAGATCTTGAAAATAAGGCTGATCTTTAACATTTTCATAGAAGATTTCAGCCTCTTCAGTGGTAAATAAATGTTCTTGGCTCTCAAGTATTTGAATACCTTTTTCTTCGAGCTAGAGCAAAATCAAATTGAAAATGGTTTCTAACTTCTCTAATAATTTGTTCTGCTACCCCAGACTGCACAACATCAGGTTTCAGTACTGCTAAGGTAAGTTCCTGTTCAACCTCTTGATTACGATTTTTCAGCAAGATTAAGAATAAAGTTCCTTACCCTCCTCCTCCTCCCTTTTTTGTTTAATCTCCGCCTCTTTCAGTTCTCTAGCGATAACCATAGGATCACGGATCTACGGGACAATTTAAAACATAATTCTTAGTGCACCTCAACCCTTTCAGCTTCGCCACTTATGACGTCGTGTTCCTGCTTCAACTTGCTCAAGACACACTGCTCCAACTCTGGAGGATTAACTCCTTTTACTGCTGCAACAAGGCATCCACCCTGTTTCGTTAGAATGAAATATGGCAACTCACTCCAAAAAATAGAAAATATGGTTCGCATTTCCCTCGATATAGTTCAAACGTTTCAACAGTATCTGCTCTTACAACAGCAAAATGCAATAAATCGTCGTTTATTTCTGTTTTGAGTCGTTTGAACAGACCAACAACAGCGGAACAAGGACCACACCATTCTTGATAGACATCGACAACTGAAAAAACTAAGAAACGTTTGACTGGATACCTATTAGCCCTTGCTTCATACGCAGCGCGTTCCAACTATCTTCGTCTACAATTTCTTCTTGCAATGCAACCTCTCCTCTCTTTTTAGCCATTTTAGAAGTGTTCACTCTTTTGTGTCCTAGGTCGTTATAGAACTAGAAATTTTAAACAAATCCAATGTCTTATGAAACATTTAGTGGAATGATATTTTCGTAAAGTTTATCTATGGGTATTTCACAGTCGCAATTATAGGACAGTTCTTCATTAACTGTTGCTTTCTTCCAAATTTGATGCTGATTCGATTGGTCAGATAAGCATACGTTTAATGAGCCTTCATACCTGGTAACAGTTGAACGTTGATCCATCCGATCGCGAGCCTGAGTATGTGAAACAAGAAAAAACGAAAGTATCATGGCATTTTGTTCTAAGTTCTCAAGAATGTACCAAGTTTCCTGTTGAAGAATTGCTGAGAAGTTGTTTATACCACTTCAACCGCTAAGGGATCCTAATACTTTGTAGTGTCAGCTGCTATGTTAAGCCCATATAACTTATTTTAGCAAATTTATCCATTTTTATTGACTCACATTTTGACTTTATCAATTATTCACTTATCAACATGGACTGTCTTTATATGAGCGTATGCCTGTTTACACATATTATCTCTGTAGCCTGGTTTTGTGTGACTATAAATATTGATTAACGCTTAGTTAAAATAAGTTGGCTCACACGCATCCTCCACTACGCGTCATTTCGCTTCACTTTCTTCTCTTTGCTTCATTCCCTGATTGCCTGTTAAAATCAATAAGTGCATGAAATATACATATTAAAAATCCATTCTCATATTCGGCCTATTTAATTCCGTGATTCACTAACGCGGTCTTAGTCGGTGATTTTATACAGTGGTAGCCAACATGTATATTTTAATAACAATCAAATATAGGATATAGCTGGTGTCCGATTCCGGGCCACTAAAACTTGACTGTTCGTAGGTAGTAAATTGTATGCCTACAAACTGGCTTACTTTTCTGAATCTCTAATTTCCAGGCATCTAGCCAAAGTTTTAAAATGAGAATAAACTAACGTAAATACCAAAGTGGCGGGAGGTTCTAAGATACAGTACTCCGTTACTAGGTAGCACTTAAGTCCTTCATATTCAAAAGCTTAAATAATTGCTATTTTAAGGAGAACTTTATGAGGCTTGGTTTCAAGCCTTGGAACTGGTTTTGTGTATGTATCACATCCTCTGATTTCATCCAGTGAATGGTGAACGTTTGTATTCACTTGAGATTAACTTGTTCTTCACTTCCTCTGAATGCTATGCTACTGTCCCTATTTTCATCTTCAGTGAAATCCACTGATGATGGTAATTCAAGTCGTTGATAAGGTTAAAATTCATCAAAGTATATGAATAAATGATTCTTGATTGACAATAAGCCATCAGACAGTAGTTCCATAGAACGAGTAATGCTGGTCGAACCGTCTTGTTTGAAGAAAGAGTAGTCCTACGACCACTCTAGCATCTCTGAATAGATAGGTTCTACTGTCCTCATGACACCCATTTTTAAGTCACTACAACTTGGGTGGACATGAGTATTGAGCCTCCAGAAATGCTGCCAAACATGTATCTGAAATAATCAAAACTGAAAAAATATTGAGTGGGTATCATGGCTAGTCCTATTTTTCAGACCAAAGAGGAATATTTGGTTAATGATTGTCATACGGCTGAACTTAAGTTATTAACTTCAAATCCGGAACTCTGGACAAATAGTGATACCACTGCGAAAATGTCTACAATCCCATAGCAAATAATATAGAAACCAGAAGAATCGCATAACAAAATAGTAATTTATACTTACGTCATCGCAAACCTGTCAAGATATTGTTCATCACAACAGACGAGAGGAGTTCGTTAGATGTTGAAACCAGGAGGCTTTAAGAGCTTATCTTTATTGTTTGTTATACGACATAGGAAAAAAGTGGAGTACGGGCTCTGTCCATTTCGAAGTTACACGTCATTTTTAGTACTTAACATGGATTACTCTTTCGTGGTATCTAGGTGCTTTAACTACTTTGATGAGTGTATGGAATAAATGTGACACCACTGAAGATACGTACTCGCAAGAACAGATTACACAAGCGTGATGTAGCATAACTGCTACATGCACCTATCAATGATGCGTGGTTCAATAAGCCGTGATCATCATTATTTTCGAAAGACTACTTAAGTGATGCGTCATACGGCATACAATTGGTTCAGCCACATGTGTAATTTAGCTGAGATTTATGTGGTATTTGTACGAATACTACAACCGCCTCATCCTACACGGGAATCTAGATCCCGTGATCTGTTGCACGTCTTCTTCTTAGGTCAATCATGTATCTATCCACTTGTGTGGTGGGTATAGACTTGTAGAATTATGGTCTACTATGATATTAGTACTGCTCTAATAATAGACCTAATCCTAAAATTGTAGATTTGTCACGATACAACTGTCTAATCTATAAGATCTTACGTGGAAGTCACATAATCGTCTACACCAACTCACTGTATCTTAACAACTACCAATACATGATGAAGAACAAGCTTAGGCTAGAGAAAGAACAATATATTTAATATGAATAAAAGATATAAGGTAGTATTCAGTAGGAACCACACCTGCATGGCCTAGCCATGCCATTCGATCAACTCCAAATCATTCAATTCCTTATTCGCGACTTCTCCATCGTTAGGTATTTCTCCGCGTTAAATACCGAATGTCTATTTCCCGAGTAATCTCGTATTCAGTTTTGTGGATTGTGTGGTTATGGTCCAATGCCACTACAGACTCTCTGTAATGTAGAATCTTCCCAATGGTTTTAGAATTAAAGACGGAAATTGAAATGGACTCATTTCTCGCTTGCGTATCAAAGTGAGAGGGCTTCGGAAGTAAGCGTAGTTTATCGCGCTTCGATTACGTAGTTAACAATAACTTGTTAAGCATCTCATTAGAACCATGCTTAATGGTCAATGAGGGAAACTGCCCTCGTAGTTTTCCTTAATTTTATGGGCTTAGGTTAGGTGGTCCACATTCAGTGACGAAAGACTCACAATTTGTGGGTGAAGATTTATTGACTTCAAATTTACAACTGAACTGATGGATTTGATGCTATCAGTATCAACAATAAAATGGTGAAAAAGCCAGTGGACAAATATAAGTGCTTTGGAATATGAAATGGATTGTTCGAAGTTGCAAATGAGGATAGTATGTGATTATTATGATCACTCAAATAGGATACGACTTACAAAGTCTGATATTACTGGTGGCGAAATGAACAGTAGTTTTACAAACTGACTTGATGTGTCTCATTTTAATACACCAACAGCATTTGAAGTGACGAAAGACACATGAAATCTACTACTTGTCGACCCTGTGCCTAACTCTGCAACTTGCTTTGATAATCCTCAATGACGTCTTATACATGTTTTCATGAGAACGAGGACTATCGTTAAATAAACGCCTGCCCACATAGCCTTGAGTGCACGCCAAATTTGCACAAATAAGTAAAATAGTGAAATTCTTCGTATCGTAAGGGCGAATCTTATACACGACTTCATACTTAATATGCTCAATCCTATCATCTTGGAAGGAACAATTCGGCATTTGTATAAGCTCACTGTCCAGATTTGGCATGATAACTCCTGCAATCAATCGATCACGCAGCTGCGCGTGAATTTGATTACCAAACTGACACTCAAGGATACATTCTATAACCTGGTTGTTATAACGAAACACTTGATAAAATTTCGCTCCTTCATGACATTCAAAACCAGTACGCTTTACATTATCTAGTGGTAGATTATTGAGTGTTGCGCAGGGAGATGAAACAGAGTTATCTGAAGTTGAAAAGCCTTTAGTAAGCTATAGACATCCTTTTTGAAGAATATAAGGAAAAATCCAAAGTCTTATCATACTTAACATCTTTCCTAGTCATGCTCTGGATTTTAAATCTTTCCATATAATCCTCGAAAGCTTCGGAATTTGAATGGATTTGCAACTCCCACATAATAATTAAACGTTTTCTAACTAATGTACCAACAGTAATTCTCGACATAGTGAAATTTAAGCCAGATAAAACCAGATGAGCACCACGTAAGGTATCATATCTGTTATTCTCAATAAAGCGCAAAGGAATCACCAGTTAGTAGAAAAACCACAGGAAGGCCCTACATGGTTGACAAATCCGCCCATAGCAACAGAAATTTTGGTTATGTTGAAGCATAAAGATATTCCGGTTGACGGAATTTCTATAGATCTAAGTAAAACCCTAACAAGGTCACTATTCTGGGCCTAGAATTAGAACAGAAATGTTTCGGAATCTTTTATGAAATAATAAACGGGATAGATATCTTTCTTAATGGTGGAAGACGATTCGTTGAATGAGGTTCTACCAACCTAGTACTATATAAAATGTGGAATTCACCAAAATGCAATCCTCGGTCCCTTTCGTCTTCAATTTATGTAAATGACTTAACAATTGTAGCAAACTCATCTGTTCTACTTTCTTAGATGAAGTAAGTATTCGGAGATCTATATACATTATATCATCTAGAATGATATTGCAGTTAATTTTCGTTACGCCTGTTATCTCACATGGAGAAGTATACGCTGATGACCAGAACTCTTCAATCAGCTCAGTCCTGGAAAATCCTTCCCAGTTGTCCTTCATCCTTCAGGTGTTTGCTTCGAATCATTAGCACAGTGTGTGCCTTGGTCTTCCTTTTTTCCGTCTACATTCAGGATTCCAAATTACTACTGGCCTCATGATGCGGTTTGATGACTTTCAGCAATAGCCTTCTGTGGGAGAGAACAAACCAGCTTCAAGCTGAAGAGAAAATTAAGAAAAGACGATGGAAATGGATAGGGCATATATTACTCAAGTCATCAAGCTGCACTACGAGGCAAGCTCTAGGAAGGCAAAAGAACACATTACGTCGGTTAATGGAATCAAATATGAAAACGATGAATAACAACTAGAAAAAGCTGTAAAGGAATGCCTAGGAAAGGTTTGGATGGAGAATGCTGGTGAGTAGCCTATGCTTCTTCATGAGAGGGTAACAGGCTGTTGGGGACGTTGGATCTTCAGAACTGACTTCAGAAAGGACCTAATTTTGTAATTTTATT